TTGGCATGCCATTTTATGGGACAAAAAAGCTGAAATACACTCATATGTTAAGCAACACTGGATAAGGGCCAGCCTACTCAAAGTATGGAAGCAGATAAAAGTAACATTTTATGACAAGCTGCCCAGATGGATAGCCCCGTTAGAGGCCATTGTATTGCCGAATTTAATGTCAAAGGTTCGAGCTACAACATATGAGGTCCTACTTAATAATGATAATGAATTAAGATCACATGAAGATCTGGTTGCCCAACACATACACCTGACATGGTGGGAAAGAAACCAACTAAACTCTAAAATTGCCAGAGATAGGCGAATAGGTTTTATCAGCGGAAGATCGGAACTTGATAAAATTCTGTTAGGAGATGATACTAAGATTATTGGTAAATTATATTCCTTTCTTCTGAAGCAAGAAATGCAAGAAGAAGTTTTGGTAGAAACCGGAAAGAGATGGGCAGGAAACTTAGGGCATGTGCTCGATAAAACGGAGTGGGGAAAAATCTGGAAAAATACCAGATGGTTAAAAGCTGCGGCACTAAAAGAAAATGTTTTTAAAATGGTACATAGATGGCACATGTCTCCTGAAAAGCTGGCCAAAATATATGTTGGATTAGATGCAAAATGCTGGAAATGTAAGACACATATAGGTACGTATTATCATGTATGGTGGTTATGTAACAATGTGAAGGCATATTGGAAGGAGGTCCAGAAGGTGATATGGCAGATTACCAAAAAACAAATCCCATTAGTTCCTGAAGTATTCTTGCTGAACATTTTTCCTGATAATTGGAGGAAAAAGGAAAAATTTCTAATTTTGCATATACTAACAGCAGCTAGAATGGCGCTCGCAAGAGAATGGAAGAATGAGCAGGTACCAACTAAAGGACAAATGATCAACAAACTGATTGACATAGCTGAACTGGATAATTTAACACAAAAAGTTAGTGGAAATAGAATATTAAGATTTCAGAAAGTTTGGGCACCAGTATACAACTGGATTGATAAACAAGCTATTACTTAGTCCATGCCACCTTTGAATACCCACCATGTGAATACCATTAAGTTTTCCAGAAAACTTTTAAAATCCTTATTTGAAGCTGTCATACTAGCTCTACGGAGTGGTTTGCATAAAGCTGTGAATAACGAAACAGAGGTCATTGTTGGTTAACTCAAGCCAAGCCCCTGATTTGTGAGGTTCTTAGGAAATGAGAGGCCCTTCGACTCTCAGAAACATGTGTTCTCTGAAGTTCTGACGCAAGAAAGAACAGTTCAGCTGCTTCCAGCATTCTTACATTTGCCACAGCTCTGGATCTGGCCCGACTCCTCCCTTTCTGGCTGGCTAAAAAAAGGGTCTCATAACAACAGTCCAAAACAGCAACAATTTTGTTCTTTTACCTCAACATCATATGACTCGTCACATTTGCCGGGATCTTCCCCGCCCAATAGGCTATTGTGGGGACGCGGTGTCCCCCTTCCCAAGTCGTTTGCTTCGCTGAACTGCCATCTGTGAAATTAAACAGAAAAAAAAAGTATCTGCAGAAGCTTGTCTGCCAGAAGCTTTTCCCCCTTATGAGCCAAGATTGCAAAATAAGGCAATCATTCAGAGACAGGAGGACAAGTCCTTTTCCAGAAGGACAAGGAGTCCATTAGGGCATGGAGAGATGTGCCAAATGAAAAACATAAACAGCACAGCAAACCTACTGACCACATAGGATCTTCCATGCGGCCTGTTTATTCAGGACTGGCAACAGCTCAATGCAAGAGCTATGCAGTGCTATACTTGGGATGTTTTTAGCCTTTTGAGCCCAGGTGGCTTCTGGAGATTCCAAAAGATGAATAAGCATAGGCATGATACAGTACTTAACATGCCAGATTTGGGCCTGATTTTAGGTAAGTATCAGTGTTCCCTCTAAGCTGAGTTAGTGTGAGCTAGCTCACAGCTTTTTAGCCTCCAGCTCACACATTTTAGTCTCAGCTCAGGCAGGATGGCTCCAGAGCAAATTAATTTATGCAGTATCCAAATTGCTTGCTCCCAATTTCAATGCCAGTAGCTCACACAGTAGAATTTTTGCTCACAAGACTCCACAGTTTAGAGGGAACATTGGTAAGTATCTGTCTCAGCTCTGTACAATAGGAATAAAAACTACATATGTCAAAGAACAAGGATGAATGCACATACAAAGCTATATAGCAGCATTACAAATGCTAGTAAATGACACATATAAAAGCCCAATATAATTAGTAGCAGGGCTATTTTGGGGCAGGAGTGGGACTTTTACCCAGCAGGCCTTCTGACTAGCAACTGGAGATCTGATCAGCTTTGCAGGTTTTTAAAAGATTGCTTTGGCCACAGCTGCCTCCACAGCACTACCTGACTGAGGGTAAGCTGTGGGTAAGCAAGAAAATAACTTTAAGCCATTTAAAAAGGTGTCCTGCCAAGCAGCGCTTCTGCCTGAAATGTTGAAGAGTTACTACTAGAGTTACGCATAACCCCATTCTGTGGCTCCACCTCCTGCGGCAGTCATTTGGTGTCAGAATCCCAAAGGGGGCCCCCCAGCTGAAAAAGGTTGGAGACCCACGCTCTAGGCTTGCCAAGTGCCAAGTCCCCCCGGAGGGCAGGGAAATTTCCGCCCCAGAGGCCCGTTCCCTGCCGCCGCCGGATCGGGCCCCGGGGGGAACTCCACCCCGACGTGCACGTCACCAGGAAGTGACGTGACCATGCTGGGTATGCTGGGGGGCGGGGCCACGGTCATCCGAAGGAAAACTCCGGGAGCAACCCGGGAGTCCCCCACTCCGCAACAAGGTAGGACTTGGCAACCCTACCCTGCTCTAATGCTGTTAACAGTAGCTCAAGATGAAGCTTCTTATAGTATGGAGATAAATATTATCACGTGCAAATCAAGCTACCATTATCAGCAGAGGTACAAGGACCAGCTGAGAATCTGGCAAATCTTAAGTGAAGAGCTGCAGCAGTGGGTCAGGTTTCTTTACTTAGGACTTCATAGACCTCTGCTCATCACAGAACTACATTTTTTAGGAAAATGGAAAAAATACAGTTCTTGGGAAAATGGGGAAAAAAGAAATTGCTGTCAAACTACTTTAAAAACTTCAGCATAGCTAACCAGAGTTGGAAAGTCCCAGTGGATTACTAGTTTAACCCTTGCCCTAAAACAAATGATCCTGTAATGCCCTCCACCATTAAAAAGAAAAAAAGAAAAAAAACCCTGACTTTTCTTAAAAGCCTCCAAGTCAAGATCCCACAACCTCCCTGGGCAATTTGCTGAACTGACGCTAGGGAGTTCTTCCCTATAGGTGAGTTGCACGACAGTATCACGGTCTATTCAAAGTGGCCATTAAAGTGCAAAAAAATTTCAGTTACTTAATTTACTATAACAATAATTTTACCTTCATGGGGCCACTGCTTGGATTTTCTGCTTCAGATATCAAAATGTCTTGAGCTATCTCTACAATCTGCATCTTTCTAGTTTAAAACTATTGCATCTCATCCTATCCTTGAGTGTGAACAATTTCTGTCTTACTCCTGAGACCTTCCAAAAGGCAGCATATCCCATCATGCAAACTTTACTTCCCCAGTGTACAGACCGAGCTCCCCCAGCCTGTCCTTATATAAGCCAGATGCAGGACTCTTATAAATTTAAATTATTTTCAACTTTTCAAAAGCTTTGAAATATCCAGAACTGAGTACTATTCTAGACAGTACCATGATTCTTCAGGAGCTAAAAAGTCTGCTCCTTTTGATGCAATCTAAAATGCCTCTGGCCTTTTCATCTCCTAAATACTTTTTTCAGAGGTGTAGCTGGCAAGCCAGTTGCTCTTCATCAGACATTTTATATCTTTCCTCCTGTGTGTTTATTGTTGGGTTTGATTGTTTAGTTTTTCCTGTACAGCAGTGACTGCCAACTGATTAGTCTGAGAAGCAATTTTTTCAGGGGGCCCCCGTCAACCAACCAAATTTTAACCAAGTCATGGTAAAACTTTGTCCACTGTTTCACTTCCTAAAAGCAGGAAATAATTCTTAAAAGTTTTGTGAGGGAAAAAGCAATTCCACACATCATTAGTATTACATTTCAGTCTGGAGCATGTATTCAGTGTCCCAGCTTTTAACATATTCAAACATATAGCCATTTGTCCAAGTGGGCCACTTCCTGGACCACTATTTGGAGACTTGCATGGCTTATGATAACACAGAGGCCTGCTGTCCTTGCTGTAGAGCAGGGGTGGCCAAACTGTGGCTCGGGAGCCACATGCGGCTCTTTCACACATATTGTGTGGCTCCCGGTAGGGCGGCTGGGGAAGCTAAATATCATTAGCAAACAAATGTCATTGGACAAATAAATATCATTATCAATATCTCCTTTTACCGCTTTTGTTATTATTTTCGGCAGTCTCATTTAATGTTAATAAAAAGCAAATCTGCATATTTCCCAGTAAAAACGTGTGATATTTGTTCATGTCTTGTGGCTCTCAGACATCTGACATTTATTCTATATGGCTCTCACGTTACGCAAGTCTGGCCACCCCTGCGAGTGTTCTTCCAGTTCTCCTAATACTATACCATGTGGCAGTTTGTATTCTCCACTCCTTCACTGGTGCTGAAACATGCACTGACTCTTTCAGAAAGCTGCTACTTATCCTTCCTATGTAATGTTTTACTGCTTTACTGCTACTCTCTACGGTTTAAAACAGCTGCAAACACAAGGGAAGGGAGAAGGCAACACTTTTGCACAATGACGCTCCTGTCTGCTGAAAATCTTTTCTGCATATAGGCAGGAAGACGCAATGTGTAAATCTCTGGAATAACTATTTGTGGAAAAGTGAAGGAGTCTCATCATGCAGCTGCAGCTCCCATTGGGTCCCAAGGGCTCTTTCCAGGAACAGAGGGACAAAGATAACAAATGCTTTTCATTGCGTGAGTTATGTCTGAAAGGAACTTTTTCCACTGGCACGGGAAGTTTGACCCTTCACCTTATTGAAAAAGTTCCAATGGGCTGCTGCCCTGGAGAGCCACTGGTAGCAGTTAAGAACATAAGAGAAACCAATGTTGGATCAGGCCAATGGCACATCCAGTCCAACACTCAGTCACACAGTGGCCAAAAAGACCAGGTGCCATCAGGAGGTCTACCAGTGGGGCCAGGACACTAGAAGCCCTCCCACTGTTACCCCCCCCCCAGGCACCAAGAATACAGAGCATCACTTGCCCCAGCCTGAGAGTTCCTATCTATACCTTGTGGCTAACAGCCACTGATGGACTTCTGCTCCATATGCTTATCTAATTCCCTCTTGAAGCTGTCCATGCTTGTAGCCACCGCCACCTCCTGTGGCAGTGAATTCCATGTGTTAGTTCAGGGGCTACTTGTCTTGCAACCAGGTTGCAGCACAACAGGAGTAGGCTCACCTGTTACTTTCACCCACACTGATGCTGGTCAGCTCTAAGCAGGGCTGCTAGTACCAAGGGGCCACTCAGCTGAGCTGTGATCCATCCCTATACCCTGGGCATAGTACTGGGTCACTTTATTGACTTAATTAAATGCATCCATCAGTAAAAGCAGCTAAGTTAATCAGGTAAACATAATCCCCCCCCACATTATAGGGCCTATAATGCAGATAATATTTCAGACCAGTTTGGCTTGGTGTAGTGGTGAAGTGTGTGGACTCTAGTCTGGGAGAACCAGGTTTGATTCCCCACTCCTCCACTTGCACCTGCTGATGTGACCTTGGGTCAGTCACAAGCTCTGGCACAGCTGTCCTTGAAAAAGAGCAGTTTGTGTCAGAGTTCTCTCAGCCCCACCCACCTCACAGGGTGTCTGTTGTGGGGAGGGGAAGGGAAAGGAGTTTGTAAGCCGCTCTGAGACTCCAAGTGAAGGGCGGGGTATAAATCCAATCTCTTCTTCTTCTTCTTCTTCTTCATTATACTGCATGCTGTGGTTCGACTATTAGCAGGAGCTAGACAGACCATACACATTAATCCCATTCTGTAGACACTCCATTGGCTACCCATTTGCTTGTAGCCACCGCCACCTCCTGTGTCTTGGCCCCTCTTATTTGTGGGATCACCTCCCTCCCTATGTTCCACCATGACACTTCACTCTTGCCAGCAGGGGCTTTTGCAGGGGCCAACCTGCAAATACGCAAAATCAACAGCTGCCCGTGCATAAACCTTCCCCATTGAGGTTCCTGCCTTGTAGAATGGCTTACCCGAGGAGGTCAGGAAAGATTCCACTCTCTTGGCCTTCCACAAACTCTGCAAAACTGAACTATTCTAGAGGGCTTTTTCTGCACAGGTAATAGGGCTGCATTCTACAAAAATATTCACAAATTTATTTGGATAAATGATTGAGGCTATAGTGTATACTTCTGCGTATAGCGTATTGTAAGTAGGATCCTATTATGTCATTTCAATACTGCTTAATGTGTCATGTAAATACTTAACACTATGCTTCAGTTCTTTCTGGTGGTTCCAGATTTTAGATCTTAATGCATTCG